GCCCATTAAAATACCTAGTAAATAGGGCTTAAATTCCATTAATATGTGTTTATTACTTTGACAGTTTCGCATAACGGGAAACATTCTAAGAATTATCTGTTTAATTAATTATTAGTTTTACCGCTAACAACCATTTATAATTGTTTGGTAAGTGTCTAGTAGATGAGCTTCGACGTAATCGTTACGAAGAAGTGATATGATATTTTATGAGGTTAAGAGTTCTTTAAGAAATACTTTCACCGATTTTGCATCAGATTTACTGCCACCTTGGAATGTAGTATCATGCGAAAGAAATGTCAAAGCGAATGTTAATGCGAAAGGAAAAGTCAAAGCATTGTTAAATAAATCAGAGTGTGAATGCTTATTATATAAATTATAAGGTTATTCTCCCGCTTTCCTAGCGTGCCTTCGTGGTGTAGTGGTTCTGCACGCTGGGCCGGTATTCCAGAGGTGCGTGGTTCGATTCCCGGCGAAAGCGTTGCTAATTTTTCATCTCTTCGGCTTTTCCAATTAACCTAATGTCTCTACAAAATAAGTAAATGTTTACCTTTTCCTTCTAATGAAGGGGGTGTATTTGATCCCATGGAAATTAGAACTGCCGTATTTGTTTAGGACCATTTCCGCACAAATCGAATCGGGAACATCTTTGTACAAAGAAGTATTCATTGATTTTTTCCCATCAATAAACATTTCTTTAATCATAGTTTGTATAATTTAATGGCAATAAAGGGTAGAACTATCCTTCTTGAATTTTATTTCAATAAACTGAAGCAGTGATTTAGATTATTAAGTTACTTAAGGTTTGAAATACATAACTATAGATTTTAACAACATATTTATATTATGCATGTGTTGGACGTGTATAGAAAGAATAATAAATGGCTTAAATCTTAAGCTCTTGTAATGGCCTTTCACACTTCAGACTGGCAGCAAAACACTGATATATTTGCTTACAAATTGTCAATGGATTTTCCTCTCGATCGTTGAAGCTAGAATGTAAAATGAATTTGGAAATCATGAGGCGATTAGTTTGTTGTGTTCAAAGCACAAATCATCAATTATCATTTTCAATTCTAATTTTGTATTCTTAACTGTATTCTGTTTTTGACGAGAGTGATTTTTATATCATTTGCTATTTAAGTAAAAGATAAGATACTTCTGATCATCCTAAGCTACTTTCTACTTTATTGTTCACTTGAATGCGTTATTTTTGCTGCCCCTCCCATCCTAAGAAGGTTTTAAATTGGCACTATCGATTTTGCTGTCATCGTATTTTGAACCATCTTTGAATGTTTTAATGAGCTGTCTAAATCTGAAGTGAAGTCATTGCAAAAGCTTTTTGATATTTTAGTGCATAATATATTATTTAAGCATAATATATTATTTATATATTATGCTTTTTTAGGTATTCTATCATTCTAGAGAATATTGTGCTTTCTGTTCTGCCTTCCCCACCCTCCAACATTTTCACAAGAAAATTTTTGTGATTGACAAATTATCAGCAATTCTCTTTAAGTTCTGCGCGATTTTCTTTTATTAACTGCTTTCGATGGCGAGTTGCGGAAGTTGCATTAGTAATCCGCTAATTCTGACCCTCATTTAGTCAATATTTCATTAGTCTTCCATTTAGTCGAATATTTTCAGTCTTTCGTTGGAGATTTATATATAGATATCTTGTCACATCACCAGAGTGCTAGTAATTGCCCAGAACTTAACGGAAGCCAAAAATTTTCAAAAAATGGTGATTTGAGAATTTTGCATTTTCAAATTCTCTACACTCTTAACTTTTTTGAAGTACCATACAGTAATCTGTATGAAAATTGAAACTATAAAAAAATCTAGTTTCAATTTATCATGAATTGCTTTGATAAATGAGGATTTTTACATGAAAACGCGTTTTTCTCCAAATCTGTTTTTTTATACTCGATGTACCTTTTCTCAGGAACTACTGCTCACAGGTATGTAAATTTTTATGGCTTATTTATTATATTTCCTAATATTTACTGAAGTGAGCTTTTTGTGATAAACTAAGGAAAAAAAAGTTCACAAATTCCTTTTATCAGAAAAGTGCTTAATTTTTAATATGTCTAATACAATATTCTATAATGACTGTAAAACTCAAAATGCTTCAAAAGCTCATTTTAGTATAATCAGATAGGTGTATTTAATTACTCAAAAAATTTCGAACTTATATCTACAGCAGATTTTGAGAAAAGGTACTTCGAAACTGGCCAATTTAACATTGTCGGTATTCGGGGGGTGGTCGGTACGAAGCATTAAAATCTATTATAATGCTTCGTATTTCAATTCATTGCTTTCTTTTAAAGCTCGATGATTTTGTTATAAAGTTTCCCCTCTTTCTAACGGGCATTAAAGCGTATGCTACAGTCACAACTTTGCGTTCGCCCACTTAGCTTGTAAAGTATTTTCGTCCTCCTTATTATATGCCATCGCGGTGTAATTGGAAGCACGTCGGGCTCGCAATCGGGAGGTCCGGATTCTGAGTCTCAGTGAAGGTAATGCACATTATTAACGTTTCTGTTTTGATAAAAAATCCTAATGATTTTAAAAGTGGTGCCTGAAATAAAAAGGTAACGATCAGGATTTGGCTACTGGGTAAAAATTTGACTGGTTCCTTGCCATCCTAGTCGCTTTGTAAGTGAGGGAAAATGTAAGGCATTTTCTACCTCTTTATCGCATGCCTTTGTGGTGTGATTGGAGGCACGTATATAGCAAATAGAGCAGCGTGCTTTACACGGACGAGTCTCGCTTTAGTGTACAGGCTGACAATAGACGGATTCTCATCTGAAGAGAACATGGTACACAGAGTAATTTTGCATCTGTACATGAAAGTGTCCAGAGTGATGAGAGTGAGAGTTTAGAGCAGAGGCAGAGTGATGGTCTGAGCCGGTATTTCTATCAATCGCCACACCGACCTGCACATTATAAGGAAGGGGGCATTAACGGCTGAGCTATAAAGGGATGGGATTCTCAGACCTCTTGTGGTCCTTTACACTGCAGAAATTGGGGATGAAATCATGCTCATGGTTGATAATGCCAGATCACATCATGCTCAGCTAGTGGACAATTTCCTTTCCGACGAAGGAATCCTTCGAGTGGATTGGCCAGCCTGTTCCCTTTATATGAACCCAACAGAACACTTTTGACATTCCAGGGAGAAGGATTGCTAGTCGCTTATCACCCCGAGAAACAATTCAGCAGTTTGAAAGCTCTTTTCTACAGAAGTGGGAGAGAACACCCCAGTTCCTTATTGATAACCTCATTGATTCCATACATCTTAGGTGTACGACACTGCTTTCGCTTAGGAGAAACCATACTCCTTTTTGGAACTTATTTATATCCGAGAAATCATATTTTTTGTTTGTATAACGCACAAATTGTACATTTTTTTGTTTGCCAATAAATATCGTCAATAAAATTGAATTATTCCTTATTCGTTTCTCAGTATTTTACAACACCTGTACATCATATATCAGTCAGTAAAACGTTTCCTACACACATAGTTTATATCCAAAATTTTAATATCCGTGAATTGTTTTGAGCAGTGTGTATATACAGTGGATGGACAAAAATATGGAAACACCTTGTGAAATGCATGTTTGAAAAGAAAAATTGATTTTAATGAAATATGTAGGTGGCGCTGCCGTTTTTGACTACTGACGCCACCTATACAACTTTGTAAATGTGCTAAACAGTTCAGTTGTCGGAGTACTGTTATGTGAGGTTGTCATTGCATTATGTCAGAGTTAACAGACTTCGAACGTGGGCAAATTGTTGGAGCACGTATGGCAGGTGCTTCCGTAAGCAAGGTAGCCGAGGTGTTTAGTGTTTCAAGAGGTACTGTATCGAAGATTTATTCCGCATATTTGAAAAGCGGAAAAACATCATCTGCTAAATCACAGCGCGGACGAAAGTGTGTCCTGAGTGATCGTGACAGACGATCATCAAGGGCAATTGTGACGAAAAATAAGAAGACCACAGCTGCAAAAGTTACTGCTGAAATGAATGTTGTGTTACCGAACCCTGTGAGTACCAAAACAATTAGAAGGGAGCTTCATAAACAGGGAATTGATAGCGTGCTGCAATTGAGAAGCCACTCATCAGTGATGCTAATGCCCGTAACAGGAAAAGGTGGTGTTTAAGTCATAAAGCCTGGACTATAGAGCAGTGGAAGCAAGTAATATGGTCTGACGAGTCTTCTTTCGCATTGTTTCCCACTTCTGGCCGAGTTTACGTCTGGAGAACGCCATCTCAAGCCTATAATACAGACTGCTTGTTGCCAAGAGTGAAACATGGCGGGGGTTCTGTTATGGTTTGTTCAGCCATATCGTGGTCCTCTGCTAGCCCCATGATAACTGTGTCAGGGCACATGACTGCCAAGACTTATGTGAACATTTTGGCCGATCAAGTTCATCCCATGGTACAAACTTTGTTCCCCGATGCTGATGGTGTCTTCCAAGACGACAAAGCCCCTGTTCACACAGCTCACATTGTTCAAGACTGGTTTTCTGAGCACAAGGATGAGTTGTCCCATCTCCCCTGGCCGCCACCACAGTCACCAGACCTGAATATTATCGAGCCTTTGTGGTCTACATTGGAACAGAAAGTGCGTTCTCGTTATCCACGTCCAACATCGTTATCTGAACTTGCCACCGTTTTGCAGGAAGAATGGTATAATATTCCCTTGGCAAACATACAGGAACTGTATTTATCCATTCCGAGAAGACTGCAAGCTGTTTTGGATGCCAACGGGTTTCCTACACCATATTAAGCAAAGAAACATGTTTTTTTAAAGGTGTTTCCATATTTTTGTCCAACCCCTGTATATGTATATATATATGGAAAGACAGGATTAATAAATATGCACGGGAAAAATACTAAACAGAGAAAGACTTAATTTATTATTATTGATGTATAAATAATTTTATAGTGCTGCATATTTGAAATAGTATAATTAATTCACATCTGAACTCTTTCAGACATATTCTGGTTTGTTCTGTGTAGTCGTCAACCCCTACAAACGTCTTCCCATATATACGGAAAAAGTAATTGAACTTTATAAAGGTAAAAAAAGGCATGAAGTTCCTCCTCACATCTTTGCTGTCACTGATGGCGCTTATCGTAGTATGTTACAAGGTAAGTTTTAAAATTTTCTCTTTCTGTTCTGCCTCATATTTTCCTGACTAATATTTATGGAAGTGCATTTTTTAGATTAATGTTGATGTTGAATTTATTATGACCCGTCTTTGTAGTGTTATAATATATTCTAAAAAGGGACAAATTAAGAATCGTAAGTATAAATTCTGTACGAACTTCCGTTCTGAGATTTTGAAGCTGAAAGAAATTTCTCTCTTCTTCTCAGCATAGGTGAAATTTATGGTGTAACCCAGGGATTCCCAATCTTTTTGTCTCTAAGAGCACATTCTAGAATTGCCACATAAATTTTTCGAAGATTGCGTGCCCTAGCGGAGTATTTTTTGAGTAATCACTTAGAAAAAAATTTAAAACATGGTGCATATTTCTTATTTGTTTTACCTTTGTTTTATAAAGTATATAGAACGAAGGTAAAGCAAATAATATTAAAATAAGTAATATTGTTACTAATTTTGTATATACGCTAATAATTTTAATGAAATTATATGTGAAATTGTAGTATTTTTTGTATAATGTAACATGAAATGACTGAAAGAATTAAAGCTCTGCCGGAAAAATAAGATTACAGACGCAAGACTCGATAATGTCGCTCTCTTACATGTCTTTTAGAAGTTTTCTTACCTCCTCCTGTTTAGCAATCGGTAGTCGTCTGTGATATTCCTTGATTGAGGGATGATCTCCCATGTCAGTTCTATGCTGAGCCAAACTAGTTCCACCTACGTCAGAAGATGTGCGGGAGTAAACATCTTGTAATTCTTAAATGACTTGCTGCACTTCGCTTAGTTGTGCATTCTGCAATTACTCCGATTTTAGGCTCTCCGAAGACGCACGGACTGGAGGACTGCTGGTTCGTTTAACGCAGGTACATGCTGTAATCACTTCGCTTTAGCATTTACTTTGTCAGTTCTCACCATGATGTCGGTCCTCTATATGTCGACGAGTTCCGAGGCTACTACTACTCCTTTCAGGCTATTGCAGGTTTTAGGAAATTCCATTATGCTATGGATCCAGCTAGTAAAGATTTTGTTCTTGCTGGTACTGTTATATCATCTTGGGCTGTTTATCAGGGTGATCGGATTTGACACCTTTATTTCCGAACAGTGTTATGTCGTCAGCGGCAGAATGCAGTTAATTACTTTTAAAGTAAAGGCAAAAGTTGTATTTCGTTAGAAAGTCTAATCCGTGTATGCGAGGGTCTGTTATATTTGGTACATATGACGTGTAATGGTAAACTACTTCCAAACTTGATGTTGGCGTTTAACTTTCCATCGATATCGATTTTTTTCGCTGAACAAATCCTGGAGTCTAATGCAGAGCTGCGTCCACGTGAGTTTACCTTCCACTTGTTAAGCGAAATCTTTTCGGATGGTCGTCACACTGGCTCCTGTATTTCGATGGCCAAATTGCAAGGATCTTCATTGATATGTCTATCTGGCAACCTCTGCCTATCGAGGTGGCCACTAATTAGTTCTCCTCCTTCTCGGAGTCATTTTAGTTCTCTTGTCGTGGGTTGTTCTGCAATTCCTTCATAGTTATATTTCACCTCCACAGTTCCAGCACTCAAGGTCGTTTGTTGCTGCTTCTATTTCCCTTCAAGACATTGACGGTTAAGTAATTGAGACGAGCAGTCAGTTGATCCAATGACCCCTGGACATCAGCAGCTGTGATTGGATGGCGGTCTCTACAAGTAAGCCTGCTGTCTGACTCGAATTTCATGGCGCACACTAAAGCACTTCTTAGGTCCTCGACATCATCTATTCGCAGGGCTTTCTGTATCTCAGGATTCCGGATGCGTAACAGAAACAAGGGAAACCCTGTCCCTAAGCATTCCGAAAAGTTTAGATGAGACAGCCTTTTAACATCCGTGACGTAATGTTTCCGCTTGCGTCTGTTTGCAAGATTTTACCTGAAGCCTACTATATTTTAAACACTTCTCGCCAAAGTGCAGCTCCAACGCGCAGGGCAGAGATTCCAAATCTAGCCTCTGGTTTTCGGAAAGAGTTTGAAGGATACCCGCTGCGTCTTGTCTCAATGAAACAGCGAGATGGGAGGCTTTGGCTTCAGAATCCCATCTATTTGCATTTGCCACTAAGGAGAACTGCGTCTTTTACCCTTACCAGGAGGTCTTTCCATTATACATGAATATCTTACAGAGGGTCTGGACGACATTGACATGAATTTAAAGCCGCGAGAATGGTTTTCTTTTGTAACTATGAAATTCTTCAATCTGTCAACTTCCTTAGCCGACAGCAGCAGAAACTGTCATCAATTTGTTGTTCGACAAGAAAAAATAAGAAATGAAAGAAAAAGAAACAACTCTTTCATTTCTTCAACTTTATTTCCTCTTGAACTTCTTCAGTCTTTTCTAGAACTGACTTGATGGCACCTTCCGTCTTTCTTGGCCCGCTTTCATTTCTGCTTGAACTGATTTGACGGCCTCTTCTATCTTTCTTTAAGTACTTTGATCACTTCTTTAATGGTGTCCTCCCATTTTTCTTCGAATGGGGCAAAGCTGTCACCAACATTCTTAGATTCACTTCCATCGATCTTGTCACCGACGTTCAATCCTACTTCTGACGCTAAAAATTGTTACGTTCGCGCGGGTTCGTAATTGATTGAATGCGCACAGAACCGATTTGTCAGTTCTTTTGAAAATTGTTTACAACTCTGGAAATTTTCACACAAGTTCTCGTACTTCTATTCTCAGTATGACCTTACACAAATAGTAGTTACCACTTCAAACTGTTAAGAACATTAAGCAGAAGCCAATACACAAAGCCTCAGAGCTTAGCTCGCAGGCCGTTCTCTTAACCAGTTAACTGTGGCGCCCTCGTTTAAGAGTGCGCACCGTTTTGTATCGCCAGGATCGAGCCATGACGAGTATATTCGTCAATCACAGAGTAAGTTGCGCTGGTAAGATATTGGATGAAAAAGATGGGTTTATTTTATAAAATTGAAAATTTTATTACTAATATTGACTTATATGGTTAACATAAGCATATATTACATACATGTTAAACTAAAAACGCAATAAATTAAATTAAATATTATACATATAAAAGTAAGGATTTAAATTCCTGCTGTGGAGTGATATTCAGCGAAACAGGACATACACAACGGGACTTCGCAAATCGAACACCATTAACGCGATTCCTTCCTGGTCTTACGTTTGTAGCAATGCAAACACCTTCGCGTAGGGTGTTTTTTTTTTTTTTTCCTTCCCTGATGTTCCGGGTATATTATCCGGAACATGATTCCCGCCTAATTGGTTTATATTAGGTCTAAATGACCGAGTTTGTGTGTTATTTCTTTCAGTTTGATGCGTCGCAAAAGTGTCTTCAATAAATTTGAGCAAAAAGTTGATACACGATAAAGTTCCATTATTGTTTTTATATAATATGAATGCATTGAGACATATAATGTCTAAGAAATGGAGAAATATCTTTTTGTAGTACTTTTTGAGTCGTTTTCTTGCTGTGGAGTACGCTATGATAATTCCATCGCTCATATCCACTCCACCCATTTTTACTTCCTTTATACGAAGTAAAAAGGAAGTACTGTAATCGCGAAAAGTTTCAGGCAGCATATTTCAACGAAAATATCCATTTTGACCGCTATCGAATGCAATTTAACGATGTTTTTTCGTGATATCTGTACGTAAGGACAGAATAAAAAACTCGTTTCCTCCAAAAAAAATTATAAAACTACTTTAAAATTAATTCTGCAGAGAATTTTTCGTCGCGTCTGTACGAACGTACGTATCTCGCATAACTCAAAAACGAGTAGCCTCAGAAGGTTGAATTTTGTATATAGGACTGCTATAACATGTAAATGTGCACCTCGTATTTTGGTTGCAATCGGCCGCACCAAATGTATATAAATATATTTATATATATATATCCACTCTGTTACCCAGCTCAGTAATCTCAGTTTCTTTACTCTTATATGTTTGTAAATTGTACATTTTTTGCTTTAAAAATGATTGAATTATGTTGTTTTTATCTTCCGGTTAAGGTTTTTATGCCTTTAGTAAATCTCTATGCAATATTTTTAGAATTATCATCAATTGTAAAGTTGTTTAAGTGCCGCTAAGCCTTTTTTTTTATGGCGCCAATCTAGAGAAACTTAGCTTCCCAACAACAAAGGTAACGCCTTCATTTATTATTGCGAATTAAATCATGCTTAATCCTTTCTGGAATTTTCTCGAGGAAATAAGTGTTTAAGATTTACTTCGTAATTTTTAATATAGATATTTTGAGTTTTTATGTATTTTTGCCTTCTTGCAAAGTGAGAACTGAATTAATTAAATGAGAAATACTCAATCGTCTGTGAAAAATTGTTTCTTTTTTGTTTTGTTTGCTTAATTTCTTTTATACATCATTTTAGCTTTATTGAAGTATTTGAATAGAACATGTGGCAACGATTAGATAATTCTATTCTTTAAATGATATAAATTTTGTGCATTATGAGTTATAATATGAACGAAGTATAATACTGTTAAGTGAATCTAGCGCCAGAGTGTCGCTATGGTGAACAAATACTAGAGTGAATTTTAAAGAATTCATTTATTCTATTGTGGTTTATGCGCTGTCGGCGAAGTAGATTTAATTCAATCCAATAAGTTTAAATGAAATGCAAGAAAAAATGTGTATAATTTAATATTCCGTACAAGGAAGTCATGTTGTGTACACATCAGATTTTTTTTATTATAATCAATCACTAGCTCCGGTTTCTTTGTTATTATTTTTCTTTTCTCTGTTTCTATTCCGTTGCTTTATACGCATGACGAGTATACTCGTCAATACACAAAATTGTGCCGGTTCTCTATGACGAGTATACTCGTCGATCACAGTTAACTGGTTAATACTCTGACTTAAGCCGTGAACTGATGTCTAAAGTAAAGAGAACTGATGCTCAGACCAGTTACAGATGCACAGAATAGGACCAAAAATGTTCCGAAGTCTCTCGACTTTTGGCGAATTCCGACGAAAAT